CCCAGTGACCGTCACACCTCCATTACACCCCTTAGTCACCACAGCACCACATCAGGACTTACTGACCATCATACTTCCACTACACCCCTTAGTCACCACAGCACCACATCAGCACCCACTGACCATCACACCTCTACTGCACCCCTTAGTCATCACAGTACCACATCTGCACCCACTGACCATCACACCTCCACTACACCCACTAGTCACCACAGAACCACAGCTACAAAAAACACTGGAACCACTATAGCAACAACTGGTTACCCCAAAAGTATTTCTTCAACCTTTCACCAAAAACCCACCCCCACACCCAACAATTACCACAGCTCCATATCACAACCCATTACTATCAGCCAAAGTACTTCTCAACTCCCAGTTGTCATTTATGAGAGTGCCATGTTTTTCCTCTCATTCCACATCCTCAACAAGAATTTTAACTCTTCCCTGGAAAATCCCAGTTCTTCCTACTATCAAGACTTGAAGAATTCTGTTAATGATCTGGTAAGTACCATCCTCTCCCCTATAGGTTGGGAAGACTGTTCCCCTAACCCCCAAATGGTCATTTATTCCTCTGGCATTCTGGTTATACTTCTTCCTTCCTCTCTTTCCCCAGTTGCAGCAGACCTACAAAAACAATGCATTTGTGACTTTTTACCTGCTCCAATTCAGGTACCAATCTGCAGGTGGTATTGGGGGGGGGGGGTCACCAGCTTGGATATGGGAAAGAGTACCAATTCCAGGAGGAGGGAAAAGTATTCTGAACCAGGAGCTGGAACCTACAGGACTTAGGTGCCAATCTCCCTGTGCCCAGAAAGGGCTCTGTGATTACAGACTGTATCTTGGTCTTCCGAGAGGGCAGCATCACAACCAGTGAAGTACAGAATCTGTTTGCTGAAAATGCAAAAGAAAGTTCCATGTACAACCTGCATATTTCACCATCGGATATAACTGGTAAGGTCCCGCCACCCCTCCACCCCTCTGCCAGGGTCATACTCAGGCACTCTCTGGGAATTTGGAGCATTCCCTCAGAAAGTCTGCCCCAGAGCCAGGAGTCCATATTTCCAGATTTTTTTAACCCACACTCATGGGTTTCCTTGGACCTAAGTACACAGTCTCCCAGGCACACATTCCCCGTTTGTGGGAGGGGAGCAGGGGTCTTAAAGAAGATTGGGACAAGGCATCCTGGGAGATTCCTCTCTCTTCTAGTCCGTGAGTGGAATTCTAAAGCCTCATCTACTGATTCTGCTGTGCCCGGCTATGCCATTGCTTTGCTTGTGATAGTCTGTATCCTGCTCGCTTTGGCAATTTTCCACCTTGCTGCCCTGGTAAGTGCTTTGCCCAGCCCAGATATTTGGGTCTTCCCCCCATCTTGATTTCCTAACTATTACCCATTGTGCCCCTTTGCCTTCATCTCCACCACTCCCAGGGGCTATCTCAGTTCCGTCGGAAACATTGTGGACAGTTGGACATCTTCCCATCCCAAGATTCTTACCATCCCATGAATGAGTATCCCCCTTATCATACCCATGGACGATATGTGCCCCCAAGCAACACGAAGCGCAGCCCCTATGAAGAGGTGAGGCTATGCCTAGTGGGCACTGGGAAGGCAAGTGTGGCTGGGACCTAAGAAAGGATAAAAGGGACACCGGAAATATTCAGTGTAGAGTGGGCACGGAAGAGCACAGACATCATAATGTACTGAAAGGATCTGAAGGGTTTCAAAGAGATATGTAGAGGAGTGGACACTGTGTAGGACACAGGAGCACAGACACTGATGGGTACAGAGTGCTGGAAGGGTGGTGCTGAGGAACTGAAAAGGGGCCTAGGTGGCCTGGGGGTAGATGGTACAGGAAGCATGGAGGAAGAGAATTCAGGGAGCCAGTGACCACCCCCATTCCCCTTCATTCCCTCGGGATGGTGCCAGGGACACTGAGTGCCCATGGTGCCTGCACCAGCACTTTCACAGCTCAGTAGAATTGGCGCCAATATAAGCAACTGCCTGGGTGCCTAGAGGGCAGAGTGGGTGGTGCCTGGTGCCTGGGGGGAAGGTACGAGTCCCTCTAGGGCTACTGGGATGGTACTGGGAATAGTGAATTGGCAAATTCTTAGGGGACAGGGGCAAACATTTTGTTTTTATTTTTATTTTTATTTTTTAGTTTGTTTTTGGCGGAAAGGCAGTAAAACCAGAGAGGGGTTAGATGGAGGTGTGGAGGGCAATTCCCAGAAGGCCCAGAGGCAGATTTTCCCCATTCCCCCCCCCTTCCCTTCCCTCCATTGGGCTCCAGCCACTGGGTAAATAATTACCACTCTCTCTACCTTGGGCTAAAACTTTTGGTGGGGGAAGGGAGAATCTTTCCTTCTCCCCTCCTAGATATGTGCCCCACTCCCTGACTTCCAGCTCTTTGTCCTGTCCCCCTCTTTGGGGTGGAGAGAATTAAGGGAGCTAGAGATAAGAAGGTGGGGGTGGGAAAACTAAGGCTAGGAGCTAAGGAAGGGGCTGATCAGAGGAAAGGGGGAGGGAAAGACACTGTTTACAGTCGCATGGGGTTGTTGCTGGGCCCCGGGCAGGTGCTTCTTCTGTGTTAACCCTGTAGGGAAGTGGGGAGGGGACCCTACTGCCCTCATCCCAGAACTTCACCACCAAGGGGGATCCAGGGGGCATTATGTCCTTCCCCAACACCTCTTCTCTGTGCCCCCTAAAAATTTTAAAACACCCATATTCCTCCCCCTTCCCAGATCTCTCCAGGAAATGGTGGTAACAGCCTCTCTTATGTGAACCCGGTGGCCACTTCTGCTAACCTGTAGAGGGACGGTGCCAGCTCTGTGCTCAGGGCCAAGCACTGCCAGGGGCACTTCCCTCATTTCTTGGTGTCCACCCCTCCCTCTCCTGGAAGGGAAAGCAAGGAGCCCTGAGTGGGTAGCGTCCCAAAGGTCCTTTCTCTGAAGGCTCCTTAGATACAGCCCTCCACTCCCTCCCCCGCCCCCCCAATCCATCTCCAGATGAAGTTGTAGGAGACTATGTTCTGCTATCCCACCCTCATGCCCTGTCCTGAGGGACAGTGATGCCTTCTGGCGGATGATGAAACCAAGGTGTGTTAGGGGTGGGGGAAGAGGAATCTGTATGTGACTCAATAAAATTGATGACCCCCACAAACACAGAACATCCTTCCTTCCTCTGACCTAACCCACTCTCTAACTACCCTTAAGCCTCAAAGTTCCCAGTGGGCTTAGGGTAGTACTGCTTTGGGGGGAAGAGTTGGAAAGGGAGGGGAGAAGGCTTGAATAGTGGGAGGTTAAGGACCAAGGTAAGCATGCTGATGTCTCTGGAGAAGGGGCAATCTGGAAACTAGATCATCTAGCTCCATCCCCACTTTACAGATGAAGAAAGTGAAGGTACGAACATTTAAAAGATTTGTCCTACCCACTGACAGTGAGTAGGAGTGTTCGAGGGGAGGGAGCTGGATCCTGGAGGGGAATTTGGGGGCAGTATTAGGAGGGAAACAAATGTCTTGGGTTGGGGGGGGATACAAGCCAGAGGTGACTTACTTGAAGGTCAATAAGGAACTTAGAGGTGAAAGCTAAAGACACCATAGGAAGGGATTGAATATGGAGGATGTGTTGTGGCGAGGGAGTCAGGGGCTTTGGAGTGGGGAAAAAGAGATGTTTGGTGTGGTTGAGTGTATTAGCAAAGGACATGAGTCCATGAGGTGGGTGGCTCCTTGATCTGCCCTAGATTAGCTGTTTGACCTGAGTCACTGACCCCCTCCCTTGTGCATTAGTTACTTCATCTATAAAATAAGCAAGTTGGGCTAGACAATCTCTTAAGGTCCATTTCAAGTCTAACTTTCTGTGTTCTATATTCTAAGGGGACTGATTAGCTTTGGCTGGGGGTGGGGAGATGTCAACAGCTGGGCGAGTGGGGTGCTTTATAAGATTGGCAATAATATCTAAGACTACCTGGTGGTGTCAGAAGTCTTGCCTCTCACCCCATTTTTGATGATTCCCAGAAGGAAGGAGTAAACGAAACTGAGAGCCAAGCTCTGTGTCAGAAGGAGCAACCTTGCCTAACCACCTCCCTTCACCTCTTCCTCCCCTCCCCTCAGCCCCAGATGTATTTGGTCTTGTTGGCTCAGCCCATATGGGGGTTTCTTCTCACACCAAGGCAGGCGCAGCCGTTGGTTCCCTGCTTCCCCCCTGGCACAGTGCCAGGGGCAGCTCTATTCTTAGCTGGCTTGGTGTTAAGTAAATCCCAGAGCAGTGATAACAGTAACAGAGTCAACAGAGCTTTGATAAAAGGGGCTGTGTTAGATCCGGGCGCTGGCATGGTACCAGTTCCCTCATTAGTCCCTCCTTGCCTAGTCAGGGACTTCTTCCTCCCCCCCCTCCATTTGTGGTGGTTTGGGGTCCATCCTTTTCCTCCCTCTCTCTGTCTCAACTACCCTGGAATAGAGTAGTGGTTCCTGTGCATTAATGCCATCTTGGTTGATGGACCACCCCCTGCCTCTGCCTCCTTAGCTATATCACCCAACTGATGGGCGGATAAGGCTTGAATGCCACTCCCTGTCCAGTCCCGGATGCCCTGCAGCTGGAGTAGTGTGGCCTCTGCTGGTATCCCATCCCAGAGATGTCTCCATTTTGAGTGATGGCACCCTCTGGTGGCTTATCTGTTGCATGGCTCTATTTGTATGGGTGAATATGTAAGGATTGGATGGGTTTGCATTTGAACGCGCTGTGTGTGATGTATGCTGAGTTTGCATTGTGTATATATGTATTGAGTGTGGATGAGCACAGGTACCCTTACATGTCCTCGTTGTGTACACACATGGTGTGTGTACCTGTAAATGTATATGGGTGATAGTTATATGGGTATAGGTACTGTGTGAGTTTGTCACTCCCATAGCTTCTGAGTATCAAGATATTGTAGACAGGTCTCCTCTCCTCACCTTAGGGAAATCTAGTAGAGTGAAAACCCTTCCTTTGGGCACTAGGCCCAGTGGTCATCCAGCTTCCCATGACTCTGACATGAAAGTCCTTATTTTCATCACTATGAACTATGGGAATGGAGTTTTAAAAGGAATGGCTAAGCCTGGGTTGTGTCTGGCATCACCCTTTATTGTTAGAAACTGTGAAAATAACAGCCGATGGAAAAGACCAGAGCATTGCCCATCCACAGGGAGCAAAGGATGGGCATGAAAGATGTTGCCCAGCCTAGTCTGCCATGGGGTACTGGGCCCTGCCCACCAGGGCCCCTGGGAAGACTTGGCACACTGGCATTGGGGAATGGGGAGGACAAAACATGCAGAGGGAAAGGAGAGAAGAGGACATGCAGCTGGGGAGACTGGGATAGCCCCAATAAAACAAGCATGACAGAAAGGGGCCCCAGCTCCTCTCTCCCAGTGGGCACCTACCTGTGGCCCCCTGGGATAGAGTACCTGGGCCCTGCCAGGCTAGAGAAGGTCTTACCAACCTCAAGTTTATGGTGGGGAGGACAGTGTCCATGGGGTAGAGAAGTTAGCAGGGCATCAGTGAGAGATTGGGGGTGGGTGGGTAGTCTTCATTGGGAAGTTTCCCCTAGACCTATACCCCTTACTATAAGCCAGACTGAGAAAATCAGGGTATAGCAGTGAGAGGAGGATATAGTACGCACAGTGCCCATTCTGGGTGACTTGAGTAAGATGCCCAGGCAGGATGGACAAGAAAATGTGAGTTTTTCCTGGGATGTGTAAACTCAAAAGATCCTATGTCTAGGCCAGGAGATAACTGGAAAAAAGTAGAGGGCAGCCCCAGTGCCTAGGAATGAAAGAGGACATACCCATCCCAGGGAAAGCAGAGGGATCAAGATGAAGCCCTAGATGGAAGGGTTACAGGGGGCAGTACCAGGGAGGAACTGGCAGAGATCGGTCAAGGGACAAGGGTAAACTAAGAGGAGATGTGGAAGAAAAGATCCTAAGGAAAGGGGGCCAGGGGAGATGCCTAGCTCTGTGGGAGCCTTGGCCAGGGCTTAGGGCTCATGGAGCGGCTTAGAGAAAATACAGAAGAACAGGACCCACAGCCCCCACCATGTCTGTGGTGCTCAATCCAGCTTGGAGAAGCCCCCAATTGTCACCTTCCTCTCGGGCTTGATACCCACCGGCTCCTGCAGTTGGACCGCGCCACCCCCAATAAAGCAAAAGGCTGGACATACCGGCCCTGAACAGTCCAGCGGGCACTCCAGCAGCCCACGGAAAGACACGGCATCAAGGAAGGAGACCCGGCCCCTCTCGTAGTCCAGACAGATGCCCAGGCGGGGAGGCAGGGGAACTGTGCAGCCAGCCCCAGGCCCATCTCGCCCTGTCAGTCCCGCCCCCCCCACTACCACCGGCTCCCAGCAGGATCTTGCCCATGCCAATGGTCAGGAAGGCGAAAGGTGGAGATGCCTCCACAGTGGCATCTTCTGCTCCACTATCATGCCCACTGTCTGGATCGTACCTGGAGAAGGATCCAAAGCAAAGGGATGGACCATGCTCCTCCCCTTTCCATCCCCATTATCTCCTCCTATGTTCTCCTCTTTCCTGTCTCCCCTCCCCCCCCCAAAGGATCATAGGATTTATAACTGGAAGGGGCCTTAGAAAGCATCTAGCCCAAGTCCCTCATTTTACAGTTGAAGAAACTTCTCCCAGTGGAGCCAAGATTTGAGCCCAGGCCCCCTTCCCTTTATACTTGTCCCATTCCCGACATTCCTTAGCCTGTTGCCTCAGCCTTGTACCCTGTCACCACCCCCAAGGCCTGGGTTTCTACATTCCTGTGGTGCCAAACTGCTCAGTCCCCTTGTCAGCTCCTCTCTAGCCCTTCTGGGCCCCTGTGCTTCCCCCCCCCCCCCCCCCCCCCCCCCCCCCTTTTGTGGCCTGACCTGGGGCTGACCACGTCCGGGGCACCCTGGAAATTCTCCTGCAGTTTGCTTTCTAGTCCAACACCCACTTTGACCAGGTAGGAGGCCGGATCCACAGCACAGGCCCAGTAGCTGCGGCCCTGGGTCACAGCCACATCACCCAGGACGATGTCCACGCTCAGATGACAGCCTGTCAGCAGTCGCTCAGCTGCCAGGAGCAGAGGCACCCCTGGTATGCTGCGCACTGCCCGCTGGTCCTTGCTGATGGCCAGCCGCTCTCTGCTAGAACCCCAGCGCCCATCCAGGAAGAAGTGCAGAACTGGGGGAGAGTGGGCAAGATCGGAAGAACAGGAGGAGGGGAAAGCAGGAGGAAAGCACAAGGAGGGGACTCAGGGAATCGTCAGCGCCCAGGGAGTACAAGGTTTTAGCAAGGCAGCAGTCCAAATTCGGGGGGAGCAGGAGGAGGAGTGTCCTCTGGGAGAATGTCCCCTGGATGTCTCCTCATTTCAAGCCAGACTGCTGGGAGTGGAGGAGGGAAGGGACCATAATGGAGTAGCAGGCAAGGTTCTACTGGGCACAATGCCTGAGCTGCATGATTTGGGTGGGATGCTCAAGCAGGGTAGGAAGGGAGAGGAAACCTGGAGGTTTAAGGGGCAGTTGAATGAATTTCTAGGACAGACAGTGGGCCATGAGGAGAAATAGGAATGGGGAGTGGGTATGAAGGTAGAAGGCAAAGGATGGGTGTGGGACCCCAGGAAGAATTATATGGAAAAGTACAAAAGTCATCCCCCCACCCCTGAGCCCCAGGCCCCAACCCCACCTCTGCTGCCTCTCATAATGGATATACTCTTTGAGCCCAATAATTGGTATCCTCTCTCTCTGTTCCATTGCACATATTCCTCCATGGCTAGAGTCCCTGTGTCCATCCCTTAGTTCCTCATTCATTTCTACCTCCAATTTCTTTCCTTTATGCCAATCCCCACAAGCCCATTCCCTAATGCCTTAGTTTTAAACAGCCCTCTAAGATTTACAGAGTCCTTTCACAGCCCTTATCTAGTTTAAACCTTATAACAACATGGTAGTATAGATTGGGTGGCATATGGTAAGATAGGAATTTGTTGGGTTTATTGGTGATCACTTGGGGTGAGGTGTCCAGATCTGTAATTTCACTAGTATAAGAACACCTACCAACCCAGGTTAGACCCATATAGTCCGAGAGTTTCTCAGAGCACTGAGTGGTGAATTACCTGGGATCGCATGGCCACTAGTCATCAGGAATAAAACTGGGGC